AGTTCCTTCATAGTCTTTTGTTATTCCTCGTACGAAGACGAGAAACTGGGCTGTGATGCAGACATCCAGAGCAAAGGCAATCATCATTGTCTGATTTGTTTCCCGCTGAATCTCCAGAGCTCATTCTCAAATCCTGCTTTTGTCAGGGCACATTAGCACAGGAGAGTCCACCAAACACACTTTGATGACCTTTTTGCAGTTTTATGGAAAATCACAAAGTTGACCGCTCCATCCCTCCATCTTTATAGCTTATGGACTCTGCTCTAATGCAGATGCCTTTGTTGAATCGCATGGCCTCAGAATGGTAGTCTGATCATTAACACATATTCGGTGACCCTCTTTAACACCTGAATTGTGGGATCCAAATAAAGATTCTGGTGAAAATACTGCTGGCTTTCAGTTAGAATACAGTTTTCACAGATATCTTGCATCACTGCTGGCTTTCAGTCAGCAGTACTCTGGAACTGCTATTGTGACTCAGATAAAACTAAGAATTGGATCAACACCAAGTGTTGCAACTGTAACCTCTTTCTTGCTTTCTTACAAGTGAAAAGTGAGCTTTGTCATGACTGTCACCCTCACACTGCATTCCTCTTTAGTAATCCAAGTAAACCACAAAGATTGTCTGTGATTTGCAACGATAAAGGTTTTTCCGGTAACCAGCATACTTGAAGTGCAGAGGGTTATAACTAATGTTGCCTTGCCTCTGTCAGTGCACCCCAGGGCAGCTGTGGCTACAATGTAGCTTGTCATCACCAGTGTGTGAATGTGTGTGTGAATGGGTGGATGACTGGTTGTGTAAAGCTGTACAAATACAGGCCATTTACCATAATGTCAACCTAAAGACACATTATCTTTAACTCATACTTTGCTGTGCTGTGTTTCCTCTGGTCCTCGGGCTGAAACAATAATAATGTTTTAGTTTGTGCTATTTTGATGAAGCATAATGCTACTGGTGAACATTCTCAGTTAGATCATTGATAAAAATTTATGATATTTTTAGATATTTTATAATTGAACAAACTTGTCCAGAAAGTCATTGTTTGGATGACAGTTAAGCCAAAAATATCATCGCTGTGACTGATCCAAACAAGCCCCGACCTTCAGAGTGGTGATCCCTTTTTGCCTTGTATACTTTTCTTTTTTTACTCTCCTTTTGTTAGTATCAAGCCTAAAATCCTTGTAGGAACATAAAGAAGATTTCCAGGGATTATTTTCCCATACCAGCTTTTTCACGTGAGTCAGTCATATTGCACCACACTTAATTCCAGCAC